TTTAGTTCTTGAAGAACCCCTTTTCCAATTGGCTTGTTGTTGTGGTTTGTTCGTAGACGAAGCCTCTTGTAACTAAAGGAGTTGCAGCAAGAAAAGTTGGTGTTCCAGCAAAAGCAGAAGCTATTAAAAAGGATTATGTCAAAGCGAAAGCTGGAACTATTAGTGGTATATGCCCTGAGGAGGATGTGAAAACCATTGAAAAGATCCCCTTGAAAGAAAGAAAAGTAAGGAAGAGTGGAAAGACTCTAACTTCTATCCTAACTGCGCGAAGCAAGGTTGTCTTTTTACCTATTTCCCTTGCTGAAAATGTAGTAAGCAAGATCAGTATATAAGTGTAATAGACCAATTCTCTTTTAGGCTGCTTGTGGACTATCCAACAAACCAAGATCACAGATTGTTGATATTGATGCTGCTGATATTGATAATCACTTGGCTGGTGTTGAATATGTTGAGGATATCTACAAGTTCTATAAGCTCACAGAGGTATGGTGAAACTTCTGTCTCCTGTGTTCTCTTTAATGTAACTAAATAGTTTTGTGACTTTATTGTAATAGTGGAAAAAGTTCAGTAACCATTCGTGAAGTTGATCTTGTTTTTTGATGATTTGGCTGATTCAGGACGAAAATCGACCATGTGATTACATGGATTCACAGCCAGAGATCAATGACAGGGTGAGAGCAATTCTTGTGGACTGGCTGATAGAAGCACACAAAAGGTTTGAGCTGAGGCCTGAAAGCCTGTACCTCACAGTCAACATAATGGACCGTTTCCTGTCGGAAGAGCCTGTTCCTAGAAGGGAACTTCAGTTACTTTGCATCAGCTCAATGCTTATTGCCAGCAAATATGAAGAGATTTGGGCACCAGAGGTGTAAAAATGAAGTATTCTGCAAATGTGTTAAATCTGTTCAGTAAATTTTTTAATCATAATCTCTGATGATATGTTATGTTTGTCTCTGCAGCAGGTTAATGACTTCCTAACAATAACAGACAACGCTTATGTCAGGGATCAGATACTTCTAATGGAGAAAGTGATCTTGGGAAAGCTGGAGTGGTATTTAACTGTCCCAACGCCATACGTCTTTCTGGTTCGTTACATTAAAGCTGCAGTTCCATCTGATCAAGAGGTATTGTTTTATTCTCAATGTGAATTTGCAGCTACTTAAGCAGATAAAGACAGCTAGTTTAGCGGATTATACGCGCCCTCTTTGTTGTTTTATAGATGGAGAACATGACATTTTTCTTGGCTGAGCTCGGGCTGATGAACTACACTACTGTGATATCCTACTGTCCATCAAAGATTGCTGCTTCTGCTGTTTATGCTGCTCGTAGTACTCTCAACAGGAGCCCTCGATGGACTGACACTCTGAAGCACCACACTGGATACACAGAAGACCAGCTGAGGTAAAGAAAAAGTTAAAACAGTTGTCATTTAGGATTGGTAACTCTACTAATTATGAACTAATTGTGTTGCATGTATTGTTTGAAACAGAGAATGTGCAAAACAATTAGTTAGCTTCCACTTTGGTGCTGCTGAAAACAAGCTGAAGGCGGTTTATAGGAAGTTTTCTAGTCCAGATAGATGTGCTGTTGCCCTCTTGCCCCCTGCAAGAGATGTCCATATAGGAAGTTCTTGAACAAAGATTGTGAATGTGTGAAGTTAGATCATGTCAAACTTTCTGATCTCTTATTTTGAAGTCTGAAAAATTCATACTTTTATATGATTTACTTACTAGTAAAGTCATTCCCTTTTAACATTGTATGGTTCTTGTGAATATTTGAATGTTGAGTGATAGTTTTATCCATTAGTGTTAATGTACCACTTCTATTCTTTGGCTCACTCACTGTGTGCATAAATTCTCCTAGCCTTACGTTTCTCTAAGGCTCCCCCTTCTGTTAGAGGCATAAGCAATCAATCATGATGAGTTAAATGGGAGCACAATTAAATCGTATGTACACACTAACAAGAAACTGCCTTCAGCTATAAATCTGATGTGCTAGAGTATGTAATAATTGGTATTGCACACACAACAAAGAGGGATGAACTAACCATTTTGTTAGTTTTCGGGTTTGAATGAAATACAACATGTGCCTCAAAGCTACCTAGAAGAATCTGCAGACTCGTCATTGACTTTAACCTTCGTTCCACAGCAGCTCTTTCTCTCGTGTGCCTCCACTTTCTTTTTACCAGAGCAAGCTCCGTCTTGATCATGTGATGCATTCCCAAGCTCTGGCATCCTCTCAATAAACTCTTTATTCTCTTTCCACACCTCTCCATTTGTATATACCTCCTTCTTCCATATCGGAACTGATGCTTTAAGCTCATCAATCAGAAACTTGCAAGCATCCAATGCATCTGCTCGATGGACAGACGAGATTGCAACAAATACACTAGTCTCTCCAACAGGAACAGTACCCAAGCAGTGAGCAACTGCTATCGAGTGGATATCCCACGATGATCGCGCAGAAGAACAGAGAGATTTAAGACAACGTACTGCCATTGGAACATATGCTTCATACTGTAACTCTAAAACTTCTTTACCATCAAATGTATCACGCGTTGTACCAGCAAATGTTGCTATAGCTCCACATTTAGGAGAACTAACATAACCAATATATTTGTTGAAGTCTATTGGGCTATTCGCTTCCAAGATCTCGATTAAATTTCTATCCTCATCAGCCATTTGAATCACCTATAATTCCGAAAAAAAACACCTCAAAACAAAAACAACTAGGCTTCAATACCAAACAAAGTCAGGGGTCGGCAATATGAATTCTCATTATCCATATCGTGCTATTTAACCTCATCTCAACTCCAGAAAGTTTTACTTATCAGAAGTAGAAATAACTAACATTCACACACTTCCTTCTTCCCATTTTAAACGAAGTTATATCGCAGCAAAATCAAATAAGATTCATACGATCAAATTAAACGAGAAGGGATTAGACAGGACAGCACCAGCAGATTGAGTTTCATGTAAGTATAGACTATAATCATCCAACTATACCCTTTAAACAATCAACTTCAACTCATGATCTTGGATTATAATTATAATTCTCAAAGACCACTTACATAAACTCCTAAATCCAATAAATTGCAGTTCTCTCCTTCCATCCGTCTCAATTTATGTGATATTTTTTTGCTTATTGACTGTTAATTTGACTAGTCTTTGGTGAAATTCACATTGTTTAAATCTCGAGAAGCAAAAAAGGTGTCACGTAAATTGAAACAGAATAGTAATTATTAGTGATGTTGATTTCTTTAACAAAATCAATTAGTATCAAGTCAACTCATGACCAAATGACTTGAGATTATAAGCAAATACAAGGATTTTGAGATAATTTAAAATTATAATCATTATTAATCGAAATTAAAGATTGAATCTTTGAAAACATACCTACACAATGAAGCGGCTGGCTGGTGGCTGAACCGCAGCTTTGGAGATTTGATCTTTCTGATGATTGCAGAGTAGAAGTGAAGACAATTTTTGGAAGAGAAAATTGACAAAAATGGTCCCTTAATTGTTGTAGTAAGTTCAACATAGTTCCTTAAGTATCAATTCAGCAGTTTTTGATCTTTTTAAGTTTGTATAAGTTATTGATTATTGTTACACAAATAAAAAAGATATCATAAATAATTACAAGTTTATATTCAAATCGAAAGTAATTTCTGAAATATTCAGTCTCTCATGAATAATTACCGTCTATACCCTCATTTATTAAGGGTGATAATTTTTGTTTAAGTGATACTAAATCGATATCATATACTATATTGATATCATTAAGGTTGATAATTTCGCTTAACTAACACTCAATATATATAATTTATTGGTATCATTAAGGTTTCTTCTTCAGAAATTACTTATTAGTCAATGATATTATAAGAGTATATATGTATATTGTTGTGGTATCATTAAGGTTTCATTGTTCAAGAATTACTTATCAGTCGATAATATACTATAAGAATATATATGCTCTTATAATATCATTGACTAATAAGTAATATCTTAACAACAAATCTTAATGATATCAATACAATATATATATATATAGATTTAATATCAATTGAGCGAAATTATCAGCGTTAGTGATACCAATATAGTATATATGATACTGATTTTGTATCAGTTAAGCGAAATTAGTAAATGCTTATTTTATTTTTATGGGGTTTTATTTTTATGAAGTATTTGCTTATTTCCCCCTCATAGTTACATTAAAAATTAAATTGATTAAAAGAATTTATATTGGATTTCATTTGGTTGTGTTTAATTTTGAATTGATATCATATTTCGTTTGGATTTTTTTACTAAAAAAACTACAAAAATAACCAAATTAAGTCGATAAATTTTATATAAATTTTTTATATATTATTCATAAATAAAATATAAATATTTTGTTAAATCTTATTAACTTATGTCTTTACCTTTACTATTTTCTCAAATTCAACCCTTTTAAGTATTAAATTTTATGAACTATATATTAAAATCTTAAGTCCAAGTTTTCTCAATTTTTGAGTTGGGGGTTTTCTTTTTTGCTTTAAAGATTTGATGCTTGGTGTATAATGAAATTTACTATTGCTTAATTAAAATTAGTTTCTTTGTATAATAATAACTTAAGCATCACTTAATTGAATTCACAGTAACTTTTACATGAATTTTTCATATAAGTGGTGTCTATGTCTATCAAGAGTATTGCTTAATTAAAATTACTTTGTTTGTATAATAATAAATCTAGCACTTGCTTAATTGAATTCACAATAATTTTCATATAAATTATTAATGTACTATGTGTATATGTATATCAAGACGTGTATGCCTCCAAATTTATTACTTTTAAATCGAAAAGTGAAAAATAACTGAACCAAATCAATAGTCTTTTAAGTTTAATTTTAAAAATTTAAAAATCAAAAATTAATTTGATAATTTTAACCGATAACCTATCTAAATCGAACAAGGAAAAACACTAATAAAGTCTATAAATAAATATTGCCTTCACTGATTTCACTGTTGTTCAAGTCTCAAATATCAATTGTGCCTTCCTCTTCTTCTTTTTTTTTTTTACTTTTTCAGATTCCATAACTCTTTTCTTGAATTTAGAGTCATCCAAACTGCTTGCTTTTCTTCATATTCCCATAATTTCCGATTCTTGATTTGATCTTCGTTTAATTTAAGCAAAACCCTAGTATTTTCTAGCTGAATTATCGGGAATTTGGGAGGAATTGAATCAACAAAAATTCAATTGAAGATCAGTTAGTTAGAGATGGCAATAGCTGCACCAGAACAGCTTAATCTTACGGAAGCTCCAACTTGGGGGTCTAGAACCGTTGATTGCTTCGAGAAATTGGAGCAGATTGGTGAAGGCACTTATGGGTTAGTTCTTGTATTTTGAATTATGTCTTTTGCTTTGCTTGTAGTGTGTGCGCTTTTACTTGAGTAAGGGTTTATCGGAAACAATCTTACTTTGGGTTTGTTGTTGTAGTGTGTGTTAAAGACTTAAAGTTGTCATTTTTTTTTGTTTAAAAAGCATAATTATTGAGAGTTCGGATGAATGAGTCTAAAATGGAACAGAATGAATACATGGGGTTTATATATGTAGACTTCAGTTATATGCATGAGATCCTGGGTATTTCATAGCTTGTAGTTATAGAATTTATGGATTAGGACTCTGTTTGCTGCAGGTTATAGTCTTGGGCTACGTTTAACGTTCCACGTGTATTTGTTTATCCAGAATTAATTGAAAGTTTGAAACTTTATGTGGAAAATTTAGGTATTTAGCAAATAGAAGACATTTAGTGTTTGTGAGCTCCTATGATGCTTCAAAAATGTAGTTGGGTGTGTCGGATCCTCTGAAAAGTAGTGCATTTTTGGAGGATCCAACATGGGTGCAGCGACAATTATGGAGAGTCCAAGCAACGCAGGTGAGCTCAAAAGTTAGCAGAGCTGTATTTTAGCTAATGGAATGGCGGAAAAAGAGAAATTTAGTATAAAGGTCTCATTTTTTTGGCTTATAGTGTCGAAGACAAAAAATTTCAGCTTAAAGTTCACAGCTTTTTGTATCTCATCAAAAGAGTTGATTTGCTTAAAGGTCTAATTTTTTTGGCTTGTAGTGTCGAAGACAAATTTCAGGTCAAAGTTCTCAACTTTTTGTATCTCATCAAAAGAGTAATTCATTTTTTTTATACGTAACTGGAGAGGTAACTCAGAATCTTTCTTAAACTATCTACATCATGTCTATTTTGCTACTTACACCAAAATGCTGAAAGATAAACTTTATACTTCAACTCATATACTCTCCTTTTATCGCCTGAAACATCTTTAGTTCCTTCATTTCCATACTGATCACCATATACATGCTGGATGATTTCCCAAATCCTCTTCTTGCCTTTTCCTTCCTTTTTTCTTGTCCAACCTAATAGGGTTCCTTCAATGATCTTGGCATAACCCACTTCACATAACAAATGCTCAGAAGCATCTGTCATAACCATATCACTGTTGGGCAATGTATGGGTCATAAATTTTGTTTTGACTGTCTGGAAGAGAAGTTTGTTATTGACAAGTGTCTAGGTGGGAACATGTACTTTAATGTGCTATACTGTGCTTCTGAAAGTGGATGTGATTTTAACAAAATCAAAAGGCAAACATGGTTGTTAGATTCTAAATGGAGGGAGTAGTTCGATGATCCATTTTTGCAGTCTGAACTGTAACTGTAGAAATAGGATGACTATCTTAACTGGTGCTCAACAATTTGTTCATTAGATGTACAACTGTAATGTGGCATATCTTTTACCTTGCAGTCAAGTGTACATGGCAAAAGAAATTAGAACAGGGGAAATTGTTGCTTTGAAAAAGATACGCATGGACAACGAAAGAGAAGGGGTGAGCTTCTTATTTTAAATATGATTTGCATTTTGTTAGTTCTTTCAAACTCTTCTCACTGAAGCTTTTCTTAACAGTTTCCGATAACTGCTATACGTGAGATTAAAATCTTAAAGAAGCTGCACCATGAAAATGTCATTGACCTGAAAGAGATTGTAACATCTCCAGGTAAGAGTTGAATAATATATACATGCTTTCATATTGTGTCATTTTTATTATTTACTAATGGTCCCCTTTTTACACTAATTTAAAAACCACATACAAAAGTCACTTAACTTTTTTCCTTCTTACGTGCCCTTTGTGGCTTTCCTTCAGTAATGAAAAAAATCGTACAAAGGTTTCTGTCTTGCAATTGCATTGCCAGCAAGATTTTTTACCTTATTAAACATGTCTTCTTTATCTTTTTTTACAGCAAATGTATTAATTTTTGCCTGCATTGACTGTGATCTTCGTCAATATTCAAATATATTCAACTACAAACGAAATTGCAAAAAATGGTCCTTTTAATATCAGAATTGGCAGTGTAAAAAGGTCCAAATAGTTTTGTGAAAGTTTTTAGTAATTATTGTGTCCTTTTGTGTTCTTGTTCTTTATTTTGTGGTAAACAGTCCTGTGAAAGTATCCATTTTAATTGTTGTAGGTCGTGAGAAGGATGACCAGGGGAGGCCAGGCAAGTGTTTCTAAATTTAATTTAGTTTTTTATGGTGCTTTTACTGCTTCCCCCAAACCCCGCGCATGATGTCACTTCTGATTTAATTGAGTTTGTCATATTTGAAGTAAACATATGACTTTGGTTGCAGATGGTAACAAGTATAAAGGTGGAATCTACATGGTCTTTGAGTACATGGACCATGATTTGACTGGGCTTGCTGATCGTCCTGGAATGAGATTTTCAGTTCCGCAGATTAAGGTAGCATAATTGTCATTTAATGTGCCTGGTAGCACTGCTGAGCAAATTAGTTGCTTGAAAGAAGAAAGTGAGTAGGATGTTGATATTCACTTTCTTTTTTGCAGTGTTACATGAGGCAGCTTTTGACGGGACTGCACTATTGTCATGTAAATCAAGTACTTCATCGTGATATTAAAGGTTTGGTTTAGGAAATTCATGCTGATTTTCTAATATCATATTGTCTTAGTGTGGTGATAACTGATAAAGGCTAATCCTTTTCCTTATAGGTTCCAATCTTCTGATTGACAACAAAGGCAATTTGAAGCTTGCTGATTTTGGGCTTGCTCGATCCTTCTCTAATGATCACAATGCAAATCTTACAAATCGTGTGATTACTTTATGGTACAGGTATGATTTATGTGATACCAATTTAGCTGGATTTCATTTTAAATTCCCTTTTTGTGTGAGTTGTGATTTGTGGTATATCAAACAGACCACCTGAGCTGCTTCTTGGGACCACTAAGTATGGTCCAGCCGTTGATATGTGGTCAGTTGGTTGCATCTTTGCTGAGCTGCTTCATGGAAAACCAATTTTTCCAGGGAAGGATGAGGTAGCTGATCTTTTCTGTTGGTTAAATGTCCTAAATCTTACAAAATTAATAAAGATGAATGCACTTCCTTTAGTGTTATTGGCCTTACAGAGACTGTCTATGGTCTAAGGAATAACAGTAACAGCTTGCTCTTGAAAAGAATTGTGATGGTGATATTTGCCTAACGCCTTTTTTTTTTTTGGCTTTGGGAGGTTTAAGTATGTATGTACCTGGTGTTTCTTTATGTCTGACATCTGGTTTGCTGTTTGTGTTCCTGATTAATCATTGTGTATTAAGACTGTTAGGACAACTGATGCTTCTACACCTAATTTGTTGCATCACTTAATTTTAAATATTCACCATTGGAATTTCTTTTATGTTTGAGCTGTGGTGCACCAGCTTATGACAAGATTTAGCCAAAAAATTTAAAAAACACAAACTTCTGTATCCTCATTAATCCAAATTAACTAGGATTTTCAAACTTCTTGTCACTTGTGGAGCTTTAAAGCAAGAGCTTAACTGTTTGATGTTTCATGTATTTAACAAAAAAAATTCCCGAATGACCTACTTAAAAGCAGTACATGTGAATGCGACTTTAGGTTGTGTTGAATTTCCAGTGTGCTCAGGTGAATAACCCAGTTTTACATTGATTTTAGCCAGAGCAGCTGAACAAGATTTTTGAGTTGTGTGGCTCTCCTGACGAGGTTAATTGGCCTGGAGTTTCAAAGATTCCATGGTATAACAATTTCAAACCATCAAGGCCATTGAAAAGACGCCTAAGGGAGGTTTTCAGACAGTAAGTAAAAAGTACATGATGTGATATATTTGCTCTAGATCTGCACTATAGTTATTGGTATCGAATAGATGTTCATGCATTTTTACTATTGCGTCTCTGGTTTTAGCTTTGACCGACATGCCTTGGAGTTGCTTGACAAGATGCTCACCCTCGACCCATCTCAGGTATCAGTTTCTCTGGCATGTATGTCATTATTATGTGTGTTCTAAGTAAGAGTACAAGACAATGCTGAACTCATATTTGTAAAGGTTTTTTCAGATGTTCATGTGTCATGGTGCTTTTTAGGCCAAAGCTGGCATGTAGGTACCAAGTTCATTATATCTTCTAGTTTATGTTGTCACTTCTTTCAAACCTTGTTTTGTGGGGGGGGGGGGGACATCCTATCTTTTAAATTGTGGACCGAGTGGATTTACATTGATTTTGGACTTTCAGTTCCACTAGTAATTATGCTATAGACCAACATGACTAATTCTGGTAGTCAACATTCTCCAATATCCTGCTCTTGCTATTTGCATCCGTCAACAAATTGAAGTGTGAATACCCCTGCAGTAGTCTCATTGCATGAGCTGATGAGCAACTGCTATCATTGAACATTAAAAATGTGTGGCTATCTATTCCAAGGCCAATTGGATGTTAAGGATTAATTCTTATGCATGATGATGTTAATGTCCTCACTGACTTGCTGTTTTACTTTTTATCTTGTCAAGAGAATATCAGCCAAGGATGCACTTGATGCTGAATATTTCTGGACTGATCCATTACCGTGCGATCCAAAGAGGTATTTTTTCTTCGATAATCATTTTTCCTTTAAAATATCAAAAAAGTGATATAAGTATAGTGAGCAACTTTGTTAATTATGACTTATTTCTTGAGCAGTTTGCCAACCTATGAAGCTTCACATGAGTTCCAGACAAAGAAAAAGCGACAGCAGCAGAGGCAGCATGAGGAAGCAGCTAAACGTCAGAAACTGCATCACCAGCAGCAGCATGGTCGGCTTCCACCAGTTCAGCAGTCAGGGCAAGGACATGGCCAAATGAGACCAGGGCCAAATCCCCCAATGCATGCATCCCATCCTCAGGCTGCTGGCGGACCTAGCCACCACTATGCAAAGCCACATGGACCTCCAGCAGGACCTGGCAGATATTTAGCTGGTGGAAATCCTTCTGGAGGATACGGTCACCCTACTCGTGGCCAAGGTGGAGCTTATGGCAGTGGTCGATACCCACCTCAAGGAAGGGGTACCCAATACAGTTCAGGAGGAATGCCAGGAGGCAGTGGTCCCCGGGGAGTTGGAGGCCCAAATTATCCCCACGGTGCCCCATATGGGTCTTCTGGCACTGGACGTGGCTCAAATGTGAATCGCAATCAACAACAATACAACTGGCAGCAGTAATAATTCGTTCCTGCTCTACCAATATGGTAAGCAAAACATGCAAACTATGTGAAATACTAAGAAGTGAACTGTAGATTGGAATATCGCGCACTTATTGATTTTCTATTCCACCTCATGATGCATCGCAAAGAAGGGAGGAAGCGTATGGGAGGGCATCGAACAAACCTGTTTATACGGAAGTTGTCACACTGAAGGTTACGTAAAATATGTATCTTGTGTTCTATGGACATTGTCTTGTTTTGTCTCCTTCCACGTCCAATATTTATCTGTGAACAGAATAACCATAAATGTATCCTCCTCAGCTAAGAAGCACTCATTTCATCCATTTCTGGTGAATGTTCTTTGTTTGTATACTGAAGTTAACTTTTATGAATCGTAAATTCAGATCCAAATGTGTAACAGCTATTTTTAATTTTTTTTGTGGCATTATGTGTATTTATGGGGATAGAGGTTGTTTTCGATCGACCATTTCATCCATTCTACTATACCTCGGATTATAGATTTATTATACTTGAAAAACTCTCTTTGAGATATAACTGGTGTATGATCCAATATACTTGATCTAAAAGCCTCTACATTGTAGGATATATCTCCAAACTTTTAATCATTAACGTCAACGTGTCTTATTGATCAATATTATGTCATCTATAAATAATATTATATCACGACACCTCTTCTTGAATATATCGCGTCATTTCAATGTATATGTCATTGTGTTTTTATATCTTGTCTACTTTTTGCTTAAATGGAATCTTAATCCCAGATTGGCAGGAAAATGGAGTAACTTCCATGTTATTCTATCAAATCTACTACTTAACAATTAGGTAAACATCAAATAAGAATGCTTAATATGGAAACAATATTCACTTCAATAATTTTGACGATAGAACAATATATGTCTATAAATGATGATGAAAGGAAAAAGGGAGTAAAAACTATATGTTTACTTTCTTAGCTTTCCTTCGTTATAAAAATGATTACTCCTCTCGTCTTATTTTATGGGATTCTATTTCTTTTTTACAATTGTTGTTTCAAAAAGAATGTAACTAGATTTTTTTTTAAAGAGATTTAATGACATATTCAAGATCACGAGTTCAAAAAATTTCCTTGAAATAACCATGTAGTATTTGAAACTGATCAACTCGACTAATTCAAATTCAATACCCTAGCAAAAGAAAAGGGAAATGACCTCAGCATTTGTGATGAGGTGAAAAGGTTTACAATTGTCATCCCAAAAGATAAGATGACGTTAGGTTTTGTGAGAACGTTACATGAAATGACTATCTTTGCCCATAGAGTTGCGTGAACATTTTGACAAAGGGTTTAGCAAAAGCATTATCATATCTAATATAACTCAAAACAGGAAGCACAAGAGAAAGCAATAGTTCAAACTACTTTGTCCCAGCACAAAGGAGCTGTGTTGCATTCGTGGTCAAACACAGTGGAGGCAATTTAATGCCGCATACAAACAAGCAGTATTTTGTGTTTCAATATCTAAAGACAATCTCACATGAAAAAAAAAATATTACATCAGTCGTTTAATAGCTGACACGACAATCCAAGTTTGCATCACAAAAATGTTTGCAAGGCATTAAAAAGTACCATAATCGTGTTGAGCTTATTGACTAGATGGTGTAGACAAGGCACTCCATGCACAAGAACCAAGTCCACAAGCCTTGACCAGATAGTGTTGGCTAATAGAGTATAATCATCAACAAGATCAGAGTCGTATTTCAGTACCAGATGGATCTTACAGTGTTTTGCATATGACCAAAACAATTGGACTCAAGCAAGAAGTCTGGCCTGGGACAGATAAGGTTTGATGCATCGTCCTTCCCATCATAGGGTCCGTAATCAAACTTCTCCTGCTTAACCTTGCAAGCTTCACCACCATAAAACAATCAAATTACACAACTATATGCTTTCTCGATTGTGAGTTGAAGTTAATATGATAATCAGTCTCACCTGGCATTGTCACTAATTGGGGCTCCTCTGATGAGCTTCCACTAGTAGGGGTGTATTCACTAAACACCGATGCAGCAGAATGACCTAAAGGGGAGATTGGATCACCATGTTGTCCCCATTCAGTCATGTGGAGATCAGGACATGAATTATCAACCACATCACCAGAATTCTCCTGGTGCAAGATACTCTTTGAAGCTTTCATAGTTTGTGATTCATGAAGTACAGCGTCCAACAGACCACTGTTCCTAGGTGACAGATTACATGATTCAGTATGCTCAGTTGGAGGGGACTGAATCAAAGTGTCGACAGAATCAAGAGAAGGAAGAGGGGAAGTAACTAAGCCCCAACTTGCAATCGTACTTTGGAGTGAAGGGAGCTCGAGCTTCTTTGCCCATGAGGGCTCTGAAGAAGAGGTGTGGCCATTTAAAAGGGCATGGCTGCCAGGAATTACACCCAAGGATGAGGGGTGATAATCAGATGTTAGATTTTGATTAAATGAAGACGAAAATCCCATGGACTGAGCAAGCAAAGAACCATCATCCTGATGTTGATGGCAGGTTGAAAAAGAAACATCATTTTTTGATGGAGAACAATCACCATTTAAACCAGAGAACAGAGATTCTGAGCCTCGTATACGCTTGGCTGGAGGCGTTGTTGAGAGGAATGACCGACTGTAATAAGCAGAATTAAGACCCTGTGCCAACAGGCTTCTTCCAGGAATGTCAAGTATGCCACCAGTGGGAATATCAAGAAGTGCTGGTGGACACAAATGCTGATTGAACTCCAACCTTTTGAATTCCACAGCTGGAATCTCATAATTCATTGGAAAGAAATCAGGATATTGTGAATCTGCTGAGGAGAATGTTCCCAACTCCTCATTTTGTTTGTTTTCTGTAATTGACTGAAAACAAATATCTGAAGGGTAAATTGGCAAGCCTGCACGCTGACGTCTCTTTATTCTGGTATTCCAGTAGTTCTTTATCTCATTATCTGTACGCCCGGGCAACTGAAAAGAGAAAAATAGAGCCATTAGAATTTAAACAATAGTGAATGGTATTCCACAATATTTCCGATTTGATAATGTGATGAGGTCACGGTGGTTATTTTAGAAACTCATCTGAAATCATAAAAGATAAAAGAGCAATATGTGCTGATAAAAGAGGGGAAATCCACATTTGTAGTCCAGGAAGAACATTATTTAAACATGTCCATACATGCAAGTTCTACCAAGCACAAACCAGTATTTATATCTTACATGCATTGTGTGAAACCACCTAAAGCAAAACCATGTGCACCATATGACAAAATAATGGACTCGGAATATCACAAAAGCTTCAGAAAGAGTGAAGAAAGTTTTATCACAGGGTCCCAACAATGTCGCATTCACTATGAGTATCTTTCCTTTCTCTATATTATACCCTACCTATATTACTCACTGGATCAAGATTTCTGCCAACTGTAATATTGAATTATATAAATAGTAGATATGTTAAGACAGAGAAGTCCCTTGTGATATGATGAATCCCAACGAGCCAGACACTTCTACATCTTGATTCCAAAAACTAATATGATTAACATTGCCAAGCCTATCTTGGCATGCCATGATTAGTCACATTTTCACCACTCAGTGTTAAGAATGATGACATAGCTAAGTGTTAAAGAGATGCAAGAGGACTACAGCTGACAACAGAAATCAGAAAGTACTGGTTTTACTCCCAAGAGTGGCTTTACTCCCAAGAGAAACAGCACAATGCCAATACATAATAGGGCTAGAAACTACAAGTATGCCACTTCATCAACTGTACAATGAACTTCTCAAATGGACATACGAAAAAATATCATAGTATTTTATGATGTCCAGATGAGGATCTAAAGCAGAACCCACATCCGCCATCAAACATAAATTCATACAAAATAACATCACCAAGCATCCAGACCGGTTTCTAGAAAAAGTACAGTTGACCAGCCTATCTCCTATGTTAGTAGAATTACCTGACCACAGTCTTAAACTCTTACAACCAAGTATCATTGAGGATCAGACATAACTTCATAAAACTGCCCAATAATTGACGAGAAATAGGAAGATGAACGATAAGAAGTTTTTAGAGCTTATCAACAAATAGGAGGATACAAATATTAACGAACAGGAAAATACAAAAAGGAAAAGATAAGCATATCTAATGATATAAACTTGTAATAAGAAAGGTTTCCAGACATCACACCAAAAAATTAAGAACAGGCATAAGCACACAATAAGAAAAAAGACTGAAAAAACATTAATTGCTTCTCAAAAAAACAACACTTCTTTATAAGCTTGCAATAAGCAGGTTCCTAGACATCACAATAGAAAAAACTTGCAATAAGCAAGACCCCTAGACATCACACTTGAACTTGCAGTAAGCAAGATTGCTAGACATCACCCTTGAAACTTGATCAAGTTAGCATTTTTCCTTCTCAGAAAAAAACTTGATTCAAGTTTTGGTTCTTAAACAATGTTTTTGAAAGGGAAGACACACAATAGAAAAAACTTGCAATAAGCAAGACCCCTAGACATCACACTTGAACTTGCAGTAAGCAAGATTGCTAGACATCACCCTTGAAACTTGATTCAAGTTAGCATTTTTCCTTCTCAGAAAAAAACTTGATTCAAGTTTTGGTTCTTAAACAATGTTTTTGAAAGGGAAGACACATCACACTTGAAAGCTTGTAATTGCTTCTCCCAAAAGCAGACTAATTATCAACGACCATTAAACATTGTTTGGGAAGTGTTAATAGTGATTATCAATCCAAAATAGATTTTGACAATTAATGGCAAATACAACATTCAGCTAAAACACATAATCAAAATAAAATTCAAAAGTAAAAGGATGGAAACCGTTTCCCAGAAGCGTGAATGTTGATTATAAATTGATGTTTAGATCATTTAAAGGGGCATTTAAGACTTTTAAACCAGCACAATTCACCAACTTAAGAAATGAGCCCTCTATATAATAGCAATGCATCAAATCATTTCAAGAAAAGGATCTTCTCCAAAAAAAAAAAACAAGGTTTTTGTTCCTGTTTTTTTCCTTCCCAAGAAAGCAACTCACAAAATTTCCATAAAGAAATTCGAGTATATTAATTGTAATCATGTATGTAAGGCAAAAAGTTAGGCATAAAAAGATAGCTGTTTTACCAAACTTTATCTTGAACTGCCAATTTTTATTTTTTTGAAACTGGTGATGTTGTATTCCTAAGCATTAAGGATATGCTGGAGACCTTCAAAAGAGGAACAGAAAAAAAGAGAAAAGCAGGAACTACTTACAGAGAGCCTAACAGATCTACAAGCTCTAATTCCTTCATATTGTTTGGTTACACCAAAAGAAAAATAAAGATACAATTTAACCAAATTCTGGAGAATTATTTGGCTAACATAATAACATCTGATCACATTTTGGATTTTATTATGAAATTATTATCCAAGGAGAGATCAGTCATAAGCA